CCCCCCCCCCCCCCCCCCCCCCCCCCCCCCGTCCCCCGGACAGCAAAAGCAAGTTTGAAAGGGATCCGGAATCGATCGGGGTGATCCATCACCCCGTGATGATCCCCGAGATGAAGACGGATGGGTCTCATCTAGCACTTCTCCATCGCGAATCGCTCGACTGCCGGCCTCCGGATATGGTTGCCACCTCTAAATTGATCAAAATATGGGCATATGGATATGGACAGATATTCCAAGTACACTCGCGTATGCGACCATGCCGCAAATCCCCAACAGGCACTTTGAGCTAAGGCGCCAATTGATAATGCTATATGAGTGTGGCCTATTTTTGTCTTACGGAAAAGGGGCAGTTTTAGCTGCTATTAAGCTATTCAAGAAAATATCGACGCATTTAAAACAAGGACAAAACAGTGTCCATATTAAGACCGGTTTGCAGTACGGACATCGCATCTGAATTATGCACAGTCCATACGAATTACGAACGTGTTATGAAACCCTACCTCCGGATAGTCTAGAGAACTGTATCGACCGTTTCACACGGAGCAATATTTGCTCTCTCGTCCTTCGTTCCCAGTTTCACACGCTTCGATTTTCATTATGGTCTCTATAGAGAGCTGCTGAAACGGGCTACCAAGTCGTCATCGCTGAAAAGCTCTTCAATTGTGTACGTTCAACTCGTGCAAGTGGCTTCCGATGGGGCTGCCTTCGCCCTCGGTCGAGGGCGCCGAAAGTAACACATAATATACACCGAATTGAAATTCAGGCTTGCAGAAGTCACGGGGATAATGTGCATCGGCTTCCTATGGCTTCCTTGGAGTGATTCTCTCGGACGCGGGAAGCCATACGGTAGTCACTTGCTCGCTCGGTCGCTTTCGTGCATCGTCTGCCCGCGTCTTGTCATGTCCCAGAGAGCGGCCGTCCAAGAACCAGATTCGACGCCGGACTCGACGTCGGACTCGGCACCGGACTCGACCGAAGTAAGTTCGCGCTCGAGAGAGAGCCGATCCCATCCCCATCCTCACGGTCTCGTCTCGCCTCAGCGCGCGCCGTGGACGACGAACGCGAAGCCGACCGACTTCGACGCCCTGCTGCCGCACGTGGGGGAATACGGGAGGTACCAGAAGCTGCTCATCTGGTTGGTGTGCCTGCCGGCCTGCATTCCCTGCGGGTTCCATGCGTTCAATCAGCTCTTCATGGCGGGCACGCCCGAGCATTGGTGTCGGGTTCCGGAACTCGAGGGCGTTTCCAGCCTCAGCATCGAATACTTGAAACGGATTTCCATCCCTCCGGCTGCAAGTTTTCTCACTGACGAGTGGTTCAAATTTTATATTTTAAGGATTGTCTTATCCTGTACCCGGTAGAACTATGGAAGATTTCCATTCGTCGCCATAATAGAAAGGATCCTCGGGATACAGCCAGTGTGAGATGTACGACACGGACTACAATAAATTGGCGGAGAAAATCCTTCAAGAGGATGCGAACGTGACGGGATTCCCAGACGCGTCTTGGTCGACGGTCCCGTGCCAACACGGCTGGGTCTACAACCTCACTCAAGTCTCTTCCTCCATCGTCATCGATGTGAGGGGGGAGGGGGAGGTAGTTTCGGTTCTTCTTTTTGGTGCATCGCGGTGTTGGGTTGTTCCGTAGTTCGATCTGGTGTGCAGTCGAGAGATCTTCCCGACGGTTGGGCTCTGCGTCCTCAATGTCGGAGGGATCATCGGGGTGTATCTCTTTGGGGTCATCAGCGACAGGTAGTCGAGGCCGTGGGGGCTCGTGGTCGAGACTTCGTTTTCGTGATTGCGTGGGCGTGTGGCGTTACAGATGGGGGAGGAGGCCCTCTTTCTTCCTGTGTCTTTCCGTCGAACTCGTTGCCGGGGTCGTCACGGGCTGGTGTCCGAATTTCAACGCGTGGCTCTGCTGTCGCTTCTTCGTGGGTCTCACCATTCCGGCCATCTACCAGATACCCTTCATCATCGGTGAGTACTTTCCGTTGGGTCCTCTGGGATTGCCACGAGCTCGTCAGATCGCGCGATTCACGCGTGAAGCCAATCGATCCCGAGCACTTTTTCTCCTCCGAAGCCATCGAGTTGGTGGGACCGAACTACAGGGCCTTCGTGACGGTGATGACGTGCCTCTATTACACTTTCGGTCTCTTGCTTCTGGCCGGAGTCGCTTATTTCGTGAGGAACTGGGTGCATCTGTGCTACGCCACCGCATTGCCTTTCTTCCTCTACGGCGGCTACTGGTGGTGAGCTCCTCGAAGGCCTCGAAAGCCTCGAACGGCTCCAGCCGTCGGGGAAACGAAAGCGGCGATTGATCCTCGGTCTCTTCCAGGTTCTTGCCGGAATCGCCTCGCTGGCTGCTGTCTCGGGACAGGCTGGAGGAGGCGACGCGGGTTCTCAAGGTCTTGGCGAGGATCAACGGCAAGAGCTTACCGCATGAGTACTACGAGGAGCTCAAAGTGAGTCGAGAACTTTGGAGCGTATTCTGAAAATATATTTATATTTTTTTGCGATCGTTGGGGGATCTCTCCCCTGCGCATTCGCGGCGGCATCGGGATTTCAGGAGAAGCTGATAGCCCAGCAGATGGAAGCTCAGCGAGCGAGAGAGAGGAAAATTCACCATATTCACAGTTACGAGCAGCACAATGCCGGCTTTCTCGACCTCTTTCGCACCCCAAACATGAGGAAGAAAACGCTGTTGATAACGCTTAATTGGTGAGGACATTCAGACACCTCGAGCTCTCCCTCTCTCGCGTTCTGGGAACGGTTCATGCACGTCTGTTGGGATTCAGGTTCGCCAACGAGACCGCGTACGTGGGGCTGAGCTACTACGGTCCGGCGATGGGCTCCGACGAATACATGAGCTTCTTTCTGGCCGGCCTGGTCGAAATCCCCAGCTACCTGTGCTGCTGGTTTCTCATGGAGGAGTGGGGCCGTCGCTGGCCTCTCTGCGCCTCCATGATCGTCGGGGGGACCGCCGCCATATTCACCGTCGTCATGGATCAAGGTTCCAGAGATCATTGCTCGTAGCAGAGAGATGTTGGTTCCCCCGTTTTCGACGAGGACTTGGACGTGGACGCATTACTAGGCGTTCGAGTTTCAGGTTTTCGATAGGTATTCGGTTACGTATTCTAGGTGTCACACAAGGTCGCCCAGAGGTTTCCAGAGGCCCGGGGAAAAACTAAACCGGAGACCCCTTGGGGGCCTCCTTGAGACCCTTTGGAGGCTCCCCTTGGGACCCCTTGATACGTGGGGCCCGGGGCAGATTGCCGCAATTCCCCCCCCTCTGGGCGGCCCTGATGTCACATGCCTCATGGCATGCAACGTGAGGGTGCCAGCAGGTCGATGTTATAGAGTAATGGTGCAATCTCGTAATTAAAAAATTCCTCAATACCCGAATTCAGTATGCATTCCACCTTTAAAGAAATTACTCGTGAAAAATGATGAATTACGAGGAAGAATGGGGCATGAGGCTTATGAGGAATTTCCTCTCAATGTTTGCCGTGATGATATGCCGAGGATAGGGACTGAGGTAATTTCGATCTCATCTGATAATTAAAAAAAAAATCCTATGGCAAAGGCATCTGCGGGAGGCTGCTCTGAAATATGAAAATTCGGAACGTAATCCATTTTTGGTTCCGCGGTGAAACTTTCATGGAACCATTCCCGCGGAACCAAGCAAACACGAGCCGAAACTGTTTGAGCTCCGGAGCTACCAGGATCTCAGGGCTTCGACGAGGCAGATAATCGATACGACGATCTGGGACATTCCCACGATCACTCCTACGAACATTAAGCAACGATAATGGAAAATGGCTCCAGGTAGCACGAGACATTGACTGGTATCGAGCTCCATCCTTAATACTTGAGGAGCTATCCCTGTGGTTCTCATGCGTCGGAATATCAAATAGCTTTGAAAGTGAGTTTGAAACTATTTCAAATGTTTGCTCGAGTGCCAGAAACCGCTTTGAAAGTGTGCAAGCAGAGTCGGACTGGCGCCCTAGGGCCCCCCCGGGAAATTCCTGACAAAGGGCCCCTACCACCCCCCCCCCCCCCCCCCCCCCCCCCCACCCCCCCCCCCCCCNGGGCCCCCCCCCCCCCCCCCCCCCCCCCCCCCTCATAATGCAAACCAAGGGGCTCCCGCACCGGATACGGGGGCCCTTTGGTCAGGGGGCCCCCCGGGGAAATTTCCTGATGTCCCAGTGGACCAGTCCGACTCTGGGTACAACCGCCTAAAGGTTCCAGTCCTAAAAATGATTTTTTTTACAGAGTAAGGAGAAAAGGGATCGGGGCGAATGAGTCACGTACCCCAAAGGTCACGTGACGTCCAAGTCGCTTCGGATTGGTGGATCTTCGTCTCGCGATCGTGTTCTCCAGAAAGAGGCTCTCCCTTTCTTTCACGTTTCTTTAAGCTGTCGTTTTTAGTTTTTATTATTATAACAATTTCCATATTCCTGCCAGTCCTCTCACGAACGAGTAGTGGAAACTCATTCGCGTCCATTTGAAGGCGGCAACTACTGACCTTTCGTGCATTTCCTCTACTCCGTTAGACGCCGTAGTCGAGACTCTAGTTCTGTACCTGATCGCCAAATTCGCCATCGCCGCCTCCTTCTTGATCATCTACCCGTTCGCCGGGGAACTATACCCGACCGAAGTCCGCGGGAAAGGCATCGGGTTCTCCGGTTACATCGGGGGGCTCGGCGTCTGCATCATTCCCTTCGTCAACTTCCTCGTCAGTTTTCCGGCTCGTCGACGGGTCTCTCGGTGTCGCGGAATGGAGTCGAGAGAGGCTTTTTCGCTTGTGACTGCAGGGTCGTCACAACCTGGTCCTGCCCCTGATCATCATGGGTATATTGACCGTGATCGGTGGCATCTGCGGTCTCTGGCTTCCCGAGACTCTGCACGAGAAACTGCCGCAGACCATCGAGGACGGGGAAGCGTTCGGGAAGGAGCAGCGCTTCGGGGATTGCCCGTGCTTCGAACACCGAGGCTGGTGAGAGGTTCCGTCGATTGCCGCTCGTTTTGCGTTTCGAATGAAAGGGGGGACTTCCTGGATCCTCAGAGTGGAATTCGCGGTGGGACTGATGAGTTCCTTGCTGATATTTGGGTTTCCGTAGAGAGGAAATGACTCCGCATCTTGAATTCAAATCACCTAAACCAGGGGTGTCAAACATCCGGCCCGCCGTCTGTTCTTGAAATTTCCGCATGGATCGACTGTTGGCACAAATTTCGGTTAAAAATTATGGGTGCGGCCCGCCGACCGATTTGAGTTTGACACCCCCGACCTAAACGAACGGGAGAATAATACGACGATGGCTTTCGTCGTAACGAGGACGAGTCAGGAGTCGCAAGCCGTTGTTCTATTCTCTTCCCCGTTAAATGTTCTATTCTCTTCGCGACAGGAACGAATCGGCGACCGAGTCCTCGACGCTGTTGAAAGAACTCCGTCCAGAAGACCCAGGCCCCAACGCCGCGAACGAAGAAGGGCGTTCGAGCGCGGGGGAGGGAAGGGCAGCAGACGCGCACCCGCGCCCGGGCGAAGCGGGGGAACCCGGCGAGGACGGAGTCCGGAGACAGAGCAGCTACAGGGCGATGCTGCAGAGGAGGGTCATGGTTCGCCAGCCCACGGTCGAGTTCCCCGTCGACCCCGCGACCGGTGCGATCAGACTCTCCCACTGGTGAAGACGTGGTACAGCACTGGATTTCTCTTGGCTTGGAAGGTGGGATTCGATACGCCGTCCCGTTACGATCCTGGTTTTCTTTTCGGTGCAGGTCGAAGGTCTGGTCGATCCGTTACGAAGAGCAATGAAGGAGGGGGGGAGGGGCTGTGGGGGGCTGTAGCAGCAGCACTTATTCAAATCCACTCTTCCAATCCGCAACCACTACCTCGTGTCGCCTTCAACTGGTCGACCAAACCACGCCGCGACTTTTTGAATTTAGCATTACGCCCCTTTGTACCTCTGTGGTTTTTAGAGGGTCTTGGTCCGAGGCCAGAAACGATTCTTGAGATATTCATGAGTATTTAATAAATTGCAAGTTGTGAAAGAGATATACGATTTGGGATTCACTTGCAGAACTGTGCTTTCTCTCTAAGCAAATCCTACCCAAGAGTGTTACATGCTCAATTTATTTATAGTAATGCTGAACCGATGTGTCGACAACCACCGGTATCGGCTGCCTGTATGGTACTATCGGTGTCATCGGCCATCGGTAGGTTTGCAAGCTGCCAATCCCGATGTCCGAGGAGCTTGCAGAACGAAGAAAGTAATATTGATAATTTTAAAAATGCGAATGGAGCTTGGTGACTGATTCTCAACAACAATAGAAAAAATGAATGCTGTCCCGATGCATCCATCGTTTTCGATAGTTGGGAGGCATGGTAGGCTTTGTTACCCGTTATTTGTTACTGCAAGAGGGGGGGGGAGGGAGCCCCTCCCCCTCGCACTCCCCGATCTCAGGCGAGAGATTATGGAAGACGGATAGATGTCCACCCCCATCGAGGGATGAAACGACGGAAGTGAAACCTCGGTTCGATCGCGGGGAAAAAAGACAGAACCCGCCGGCACCCTCACTTCCGCCCCCCGGGTGCATCGCTGCGCTATCGATATTTCAGGTCGATACAAGGATGCTTTCGAAACACACAGCGTGATGGCCCTAAAATAGAACGTGGCTTCCTAATAGGTCTATTTTCATTTTTAAATTTTGGTAAAACGGTTCTTCGGCCACATGTGGCCATCGGTACGGCCCTAATTTATAGCCATATATCCCACCCAAAGAGCATTGCAAGCTCAGATGAAAGGAATGGATAAGAGCATCAACCGGATAAGTACTTGAGAAGACTTCCCGCTTCAGAGGAAAGATGAGGTACAGCCATTCTCGATGAAAACAGGAGGTAAGTACCTCATTCGGCGAAGAAAGCGCCCATAAAACGAGGACACCCACGCTCACCTGTCGCATGCGGGGAGCAGGCAGAGGGGCAGAGGAGAAGGCCCCCACTGCACGTGGGACGATTTCAAGCACCGTGTTACCTGATGAAACGGTCGCCTCGACTCCGTCTCTTCCTCGTTCTTGGCCTAATTCCAAGATTTTTCCCGAAATTGTTGGGCTCATGAGTAAAGCTCCCCCGTGGGGTATTCAGCTGGATGGGGTAACGCCTCAACTTTCGCCTCAAGGAAAGAGGAGGGCCGAGACAAAGGGTGCGAATGGAGGAGCCTTTTCACATGATTTTAAGGAATAGCTCGTAATCGCGTCTCTAGGGGTTTCTAACATTACGAATTTACCGTGCCGTTGTGACGCATAGTCTTCTTCTTTTTTTTCCGCGAGGACTAACTTTGAACTCACGATACCGTACTCCCATATTTAGAAAGACGATGATTTAATGAGTATGGATGAAAAAAAAATAAGATCGCGAGGAGAAGGGAATTGGTTTCTCCACAGTGAGGATTATCTCCCTCCAGTATTACCGGGGATATGATAAACACGAAAGCAACCATGGATGGGAATCGTCAGTGAGGTACCCTTACTTGCCCCGATGTGGTAACCTCGAAATGCCTACTGCAGGGGCGTCGAACTCAAATCGGGCCGCGTTTCTTACCCTGCAGATGCCTGCGGGCTGCATCCGGAGTTTTTCCACCGAAATTTGCTATTCAGTCGGTTTTCGCCGTTCCAACTTGGGACACACCAAGTTTAAGTTTTGCCCATCGGTGGCAGTTGTCGGCATGTACCCGCTTTTAAATCTGTGGACGTTTAGCAATTAGTTGGAAACAAGCCCCCAGACGTGTGAACAATATTCGAATTATATTTAAGAAAATATTTGTCATAGCTCTGGTAAGAAAAATGGAGATTTCACAGTCACACGAGGCAACAGAACCCCCTACCCGCGTGACACTCATTGCACAAGGGGTGACTCATGAAACCATCGTGCATGCATCGATTCGCACGCAGCGGCAGCAGCGGCAGCAGCGGCAGCAGCGGCAGCAGCGGCAGCAGCGGCAGCAGCGGCAGCAGCGGCAGCAGCAGCTGCAGCTGCTGGAAGTAGGTGGGCGAGTCAAGCCTCCGTGACTGCTGTAGCTTGTCAACGATCCTTCTCCATTCGAATAACGGCAGCCCTGGCGTGGGTCAACCGGGGGATGCCATCGTCTAATTGACAATGGAGGGGTGAGGGCGCCTTCTTCGAAGTTAGGCCGAGTTCATACTCGTGCTGTACAGCATACTGGATGCTGCAAGTGCATACTGTCCAATGCAACATGCCCGTGTTGGATTGGATTTTTCCGCTGTTGTACATGTCGTACAGCACGAGTATGAACTCGGCCTTGGGCTCGTGCGCGGAGCCGAGAGTAAATCCAGGAGGAAATTTCAAGAACAGACGGCGGGCCGGATCCGGCCGCAGTTTGATACTCCTAGTCTACTGCAGTCATGGAACCTATACTTCCCATTCATTGACTTTATTTTTAACATGCGTCAAATCGTGGATTAAGCTTGACTCCCACACCTGAGACATTCAGTATGTCCTGAGGGGCAATTATGCTTCATCCCACACAGCACAGCGACTTGTCCCATGGTCTTTATAGGATATCCTGAAGACATCTGCAGTCGAACGCTTTTCGATATCTTGAGGAGGATGTCTTAGGGACATCTTAGGGATGTCTTTAGGCATCTTCAGTGTTCTTTGTCGCCTTCAGTCAGGTGTATAGCTTCGACGGTAGATGTCTCCCGTGGGTCCTGATCTCCAACCTCAGAAATTTTCTATCAAATTTATCGACTTGATTTGTCCTGAGGATAAGTAGGGATTTTCATACCGTACATCGGGAAAACAGCCACTAGAAAAAGGGAAAAAAATTGCAGTCCGAATTTTAATTTATTCCGCTATATTCTATTTAATAATGTCTAATCGTCATGTCTGGATACAACTATCTTGGTCGGAGGCCTGAGCCTATAAGTTTAAAGAAGTGTAAGCTAAATCATATCAGTCACGACCTCTCGTGTTATGGTACAAATTTTCGTCCCTTGGAAATGGGATTCTAAAGGAACGTGATTTTCCTCCCCCTATAACCATCACTCTTCAATCGGTCAAAAACTTGTAGTTAGTGTTCCTAGATCAAATAGAGACTTCGAAAGTAATGTTTTTTTTTGTGCAGTAGAAAATGAGTCCATTGCGGATAGGAAGGCACCTGCAAGTACTACCTGGGGCTTCTCACTTATCCCAAGGGGATATCTCTGGGATGTGCTAGTTCAAGAAAGGGGCATCCTTGGGATGTCGTTGTGCCCAGACGTTTTGACATCCCTACCCACACAGCACAGGTATATCCCAAAGATATCCCAGAGATATCCCCTTGGGACAAGTGCAATGTCCCAGAGACAAGGAGTAGGGACATCTTAGGGATATCAAAATGTCTGGGCCCAATGACATCCCAAGGATATCTCTTTCTTGAAGAAATAGCACATCCCAGAGACGTCCCAGGGATATCCCATTGGGACAAGTGAGAAGTCTCAGGTAGTACTTGTAGGGGCCTTCCTATTCCTTCCTACCTATATGGACTCATTTCCTATCGCACAGGAGAACCCTTTGGTTTCGTAGATGTCTATTTTATAAATAAACACCTAATCTAAAGTTCTTGATCGATTGAAGGGTAACGATTAAGGGGGAGGAAAATACCATTCCTAAAGGAAGCCCCACCATAGGAGACACATCTCCAAGGGACGAAAATTTAGCACTTTTACACGAAGGGTCATGGATTATATGATGTAGTCTTATGCCTTTCAAACAGTATGGGCTCAGGCCTCCAACCAATATAGTTGGATCCAGACATGCCAATCAGACATCATTAATGAGAATATAAATGAATAAATTAAAATTCGGACCGCAATTTTTTCACTTTCCCTGATGGCAGTTTTCCTTATGTATGGTACGAAAATCGTTACTTGTCCTCAGGACAAATCAAGTAGATGAATTCGATAGAAAAGATCTGAGGTTGTAGATCAGGGCTCACGGGAGACATCTACCGTCGAAGCTGTGCACCTGACTGAAGGCGACAGAGAGCACTGAAGATGCCTAAAGACATCCCTAAGATGTCCCTAAGACATCCTCCTCAAGATATCGAAAAGTGTTTGACTGAAGATATCTTCAAGATATCCCCTCCAGGATATCCAGAAGCATTCGACTTAAGGATGTCTTAAAGATATCCCTTTCGGGATATCTCTAAGATATCGACTGAAGATGTCTAAAAGACGTCCCGAAGACATCCCTTACGAGATGTCCGAAACTGTCCGAAAGAAGATGTCTTCAGGATATCCTATAAAGACATGGGGACAAGTCGTCCAGTTAGGGACATCCCTGGGATATCCCTGTGCTGTGTGGGTAAGATGTCCGTAGAAGTCCTCTCTGGGACCGACATCGAGGGCCTGCTAACTGGTGTGCAAAACTTACCGAAGCGTTGGGGGGTGATCATAAGACGGGATGGTGATTATATTGAAGGGCTGTAAAGTCGTTTGGCGGAATAAATTTTTATTTATTGAAATAAGAGTAACTTGTGCATTACTTTTGAAATGACTCTCGTATCTCTGCATCAGCTGTGCTCTACGAGGATAAGCCAAGGAGATGAATTCAAACTAGGACTCCCAGGAAGTATTTTTCATCCATCTGGTACATCCAAAGAGGTTCAGCAGATGATACAAGGTCAAACATGGAAAAATTAACTTCCAGAAGTGTCAACAACACCTTGAGCAATCATGATCTAGTAAGATCCACAAGGAACTTGCAGAGTGTGGTAGAAAACTGAAGGTGGTGTTTTCCAAAAGTGGTGATGCCACTAAATTAATTACTATTTTATTCTGTTTAATTTTGAATGGACTGCTTATGTACTGAGTCATAAAATGATCATGTAATCACACTGAAATAAATACTACATGAGTGGCAAGTAGATCATTATAGTCCTCATTCAATTCAAATTTCCAATATCAGGGAAGATGGGTTACATGAAATGTGGGATTGTCGAATGCACCTGAAAAATAAGTTCAAAGATCTTTATCACAGGATCAGACATCAAATAGGATGTAAGAAAGGTTCAAGACTGGCACAGGATGTCTCATACCCTGCACAATACGATAAATATAAGGGATGAATGCAGAGATCAATCAGCTTAATGCATAGGCCCAGACTCAATCTGATATAAAATTTCCTGAAATTGGGCATGGGAGGTGCCAAGGTGATTTCATGGTTGCCATTCATTTCTGGGAATGTGACACCAAAATTCATTTCAGCAATAACAGAATATGAGGGAGGAACAGCCAAGAAACAAAGCCAACAAATAGGAGGAAAAAAGACAATATGAATACTTCTTTATATAGAAGATGTTTTAGCCAAGGGCTTTGGCACTGTCAGGTAATTCCTCTTGACTTTCTCCCCCATTTCAACAATTTGCTTGTGGAATTCCTGAAAACAAGGGACAATACACAAGTTTGCTCCACATTCTGGGCATCGATATTTGGTTTTACGCCTTTGGATCCGTCCCTCAGGGTCAGTCTTGTTCCAGCAGTAATCACATCCAACTGCTGAGCCAGAACGCAACTCTGGGCAGTGGCCTCTTGTCTTGGTTGTAGCATATTGAGGAGAAGATGCACTGCGCTTCAAAGTGGAATTATCCTCATTCTTTCCAGAACTACTCTGTTCCCCCCCTTCAGCATCAGCTGTGATAATGATGGTTGGTGAGGGAACGATCAAGTAAGGTCTCCGAATTTCTTCAAGAGAAGTTGGGGATTTGGGAGGTGGACTGGGGATGACTACCGAAGGGTGAGACATCTGCCGCTTCATTGTTATATTTGGCAGGATACTGTGTTGGTCTCCCTCCTCATCTGATATGAATTCTTGCTCACTCTGAGTGCACTCTAAGTCTCGTTTTATTCGCTGTTGTCGATGTAACTTGCGAAATCTGCTTGGTCGACATTCACTCCCATGAGATATCAGAGCTCCAGTTCCATCTAGAAATAAAAACAATTCAAGCTATAGTTCCAATTTCCGCTATACTTTCAGAGGGCCCTCAAGAGCACATGTCAAGAATCTTGATGAAGATCTTTAGACAGAATTTACAATTTCTGATCAAGATCAGTCACCATAAATTAATAAAAATCAAATAGTCAGGTAATAAATAAATAACGGCATTGCAACTGACCCCGTAATGATGGTGATGTCTCTGGATCTGTTGTTGGTGTTGATGGATGTGACTATCAGGACAAAGAAGAAACCAGAGTTACCAAACATAAGATTTCACTCAGAGAAGGAAAGGATTGTTTCATTCAATGTCATACTTATAACATGACACTCAAAGTGCACAGAGCGTCTTTGTGCAACTGCCTCATTTCAGCTTAAATGCATTCAAAATTTGAATTAGAAGAAATTCCATTGTGCCTCCAGCAGTTTGCACAGTTAGGTATTAACAGGAACAATTGGAAAGAACCAACAGGTTAATGATCTCCATGTATAGCAGTATCTAAGGTAATGACAAAGACATGAAAAGAAGATGGTGAACCTCAAGAGATCCTGAGGGTCCTGGATCACTATCATCCAGTTGGTCTGGAAAGCTTGTCTGAGTTGATAGCGTTGCCTTGCTTTCCCTTTCCACTTCACATGATGCAGAGGGGGACTCCCTTAGTTTCTCAACTGGAAATGAAAAGGCTCATGAGGCATATCCATTATACTGCATATGAATCTTTCTGACATTTATCATTAGGTAGGGTACAAAGCACAAGAAAAAAAAAGCACAAGTCTCTGAGCTTGAGGAAAGAAAATTGGCTTATGTCTAAACACATACCATTTGTGTTAGTGTCTAGCATCTATTAAAAATTCATATTTTAGAAGAGAACACAGACACAACATCCAAATTCTGAGGATAAAAGGCATCCTTTCAAGGGTCTCTGAAGAAATGAATTGCTGTAGCTTCCTTCACTTTCTAAAAGGTTGGGAAATTGTCATCGTTCCTCATCTATTTTCAATTCAGCATTTCTCCTATTTAATTCAAAATGATCTAATTCCTTGTTTTGGACTTCAGGGTGGGATGGAAGAAATTAAGTTGATGAGACAGCCTAATCAACCATGCATTGTCAAAGATTTACAATTAAAGTTTCCTGTGACAAAAATTATTTAGAAGATGCACAAGTGCATAAAATAAGCAGTCATGAAGGTAAACATGGTATCAACCCATACCTTCAAAGCTCATTCTCTGTATCTTCATTGGTGGAATTTCATCTTGGGATCTGGATCTTGGGATTGAGTTATTAGCAAAGGCTGCAGAAGCTAGAGTCTGCTCTGGAGTCAGATTACGACTAGCTGATGGTATTTCTGCAAGACCTTTTATTTGCAAGGAATCAGCAGTCTGAAAAGAAAAAAGGATCAGTCAAATACATTGCATACACTGATGGAACAAATATAATCACACATAGCATAGGGAGAGTCACATATAGCTGCATGACAAGATGTACACAGCAATGGACACATAAGGTTGAGATGTGGGGATGAAATGAGGAGGGGATGAGAGTAAGGAGATCCATTATGCATACCAAAAAGAACATGCCAGCTTCTCAGAGCTGGATAAAATTTATTTAAAATAAGACTGACAACTAGAATGTGGACATCACATAATCTTACGCAATACTGATGGCAATGTAGACTTAATAGTTTGACCAGTCAGGTCAGTCATTTGTCTGATGGTCAATGCAAATGAGCTTATTGATCAAACTGCAGGTAAACCTGGTCATTTCATCTGTCCTTTGGGTGCTTAATGGACAACTTTCTGATTTGGGTGTTCCCTGAAGGGTATGATGATGTTCTGGCTTAGAAAGATCCAAGAACTGTAGTGTAAATGCTCAGAGACATATTCATATTTCACATTCAGATACCTATCTAGATTGACCTAATTAACTCAGAGGTCTTCAAAAATTGCCTCCTCTTGGCAAATAGCATCACTGGTCTACCATATCACATCATATTTTCATCACCTGACAAAAATGTCAAAACAGGAAAAGTAAAAAAATACTTTGGAGTAACTTTCTTCCCCAAATACCCATAGAATACCCATATATTTTCTTTTGTTTCTGATGCTTGATATTTTTTAGATGATAACTGATGCACTGTCACTGATGAGTACCAAGCTCAATTCTTTGAGAAGGATAAAACATATTTGAATTTCATCATCAGAGCTTTAAGGGCAATAACTACTGATATAAGTTTGGGTATTTTTTCAATTTCTCAAGTTTACCTAAGCAATGCTGGCATAGACCAAAATATGTTATTTGATACTCAAATGAGCTCACCTTCAAGACAGAAGTCAACTGCTCTTGTGATACATTCACTTCTCCCTTATAGATGAAATCAATCAGTGTTTTCACATCATTATACTCCACATCCCTCATGATGATCACTGGATGTCGACAAGGATTGTTTGCAAATAAAGCCTGTAAAAAGAAGACAAAACGACTCATGAAGTGGTATATGGCAACTAGTGTCTTCATGACAAATTCATGTAAAATATGAAGAGATCCCAAAAGATGTTGTTCCAAAAGTGATCTGCCAGCTGCCTACAGGTCATGATCAAGGCCTACATCAAAATAACACTCCACTTGTGTAATTCAGCCATCCCTGTACTGAGACAGATATACTGAATTGGGGAGATTTTTCTGGAACACTCTTCTTTCTTTCTAAATAAAGTACCATATAACCCTTTGGAACCCTGAAGCATGCATGGCACAGTACTTCCATACTATATATGATACTGAAGCTTGTTCAATTCAGCATTGATATGCCTTATTCATATAAAATGCTCAGTTTTATTAATGACAAGAGAGAACAAAGATCATCAAATGCAGTGATTTGGAATGCAGTGCCTGCAATACATAATGCAACACAATGAATTCTGTCAATAACTCTTTGATCTTTCATACCATTAATTATATATCTTTTTAAACTAAAAGAAAGATGATTCAATGCAGATTTGAAAAAGCCTCAATTTCACATTTAATTTGTAAGTACTAAGCCATCCTATCTTTCAGGGACCTCCTAGTAAAAGGTTATGTGATACCCTATACATTTGTGACCAGGGTAAGTTAAAAAAAAAATCCCTTCACAACAGGAACATTTTATTTCAAACATGAGAGTACCAAAGATAAGCACATTGTATGTATGGCACTCAGAAGGAAGTCTCAGAGAGTTACACTCACTCAAAAGAGGCAGGGAGACAACTGCTTGTTTAACCTTTTCCACTCGAATGGGCGAGTATACTCGCCCATTGGTACATTGAGTGTTGCAAAACTTAGAGTGGAAAAGGTTAAGTCACCTCCACCCATAGCTTAGTTTTCAAATTTTCTCAACAACATTATCATTTATAGCTCAGTAATTTCCAAGTTCATCCATTAACAATTTTTGTTTACAAGCTTCAGCCATGGAAAGATAGTTGATTATAATTTACATATTGATGGAGTAAAGGACAGGGAGGAGTAGGAAAGGCATATAGCGAGTGGACTCTGATCACTGATCATTATCCTATTAACTTCCCTGGAGTGATGCAAACCTGTCATTAGCCAGTGGAATTTCAGATTTGTAATGATAGGTTCTTGGTATGTTTAATCAAGTTTCAACAATCCAAAATAAGATAATCCAAAACTACATTATCCATACAGGATCAGCATGCCACATTTCACAATGACCAAGGCAATATTACTTTCCAAGCAGGTCTAGTCAATGAACATTGAAAAGGGTACCAAACACAGAGGTACAATAAGACTCCTGGCAGTCTCTTTATTTTCAACAGAATGCCAACTATTAAAGACAGAGTTTTTCCACTTGAGTCAGACATTTTTTCAATTGACTCAATGCAAGAGGAGCATCCTTTGCATGTGGAAATGAGTGAAAAATTGTCTGAATCACATTAAAAAAAAAGTGGATGTGAGGATGGCTTTAGCTGCTGTTATCTTGGGAGCACATAAAGTAGAGGAATGGCTCTTGCCCAAAGAGGGAAATATACAGAATGTTTATTTCTCAAGACAGAAGGACTTGCAAAATGAAGGCTTGAGTTCCACAAATCACTTGCAGATATCCAAATTCTTCATGCCTAACAAAAAAAAGTTCATCTACCTGAAAACATGTGATGAGAAATGTGAGCTCCATGAAATCTCCCTCTTCTTGTGCAAAAAGCCATGCCTTCTACCAAAGAAGATACTGAGAAAAAGCTTTCTCACCATCCTATATCCCTTGACTCCTCCAAAACTTCATACCTGCAGATGACAGCTCCTTTATATTTCACTTAATAGTCTTATTCACATTTACATCTTGAGAATGCATTTGAATATGACAACATACCTACCTCCAACAAAACTGCCATCAATATTTTGATGCAGCATGTCAGTCAGTCCATGACATACTGTGAAAAAATGTGTACTCTCAAGGCTTATCTCAAATGATCACTATCGGTTTTATAATAAAAAATATTATCTAAACATAGAATTTTCAATGGACTGATAATTAACTGCTGGAAATAACCCACCTGAAAGTAAGTTGAGCATGCTGCCAACACCACCTTGTGAGCTTGAATTTGACGACCTTCAGCTGACAGTGTGACATCCACTAAGGATTGGCTCTCAAGCAAATCAGAAAATGCCTGGATGAAATTAGGAAGGTGGTTGTTCCACCTGAGACAGAACTGTTGTGCCATAGCTGTTGAATATGATGGTGCATACATTTTAAACGTGCCTTCATTAAATTCGCTATGCATAGAACCTGGAGAAAGCAAAACTGCTCAGTCATAATACCATAAATCCACTTCTTGCAGACAACAAAATTGATGTTCCAAGATGTAAAAGGTAATACATTAGGGATATACAGCTTGCAACATAATGAGTAGGCCTACAATACATCTTCCAGGCCTTTCGATGCCTGCTTATCACATGCCCAAAACAGAGCACAATATATCTTCAGGTTCTCTGACAAATGGCAAGTATACCAGGTAGTGTGGCTCATGTACTTCTGAAGAGATTCGTCTTGGCCAGAAACTAGTTCGTGTAATCTTTATCATGGGCTAGAGCTGTACTTTCCTTACGAAGGAATGGATATATATTTTGTACGCAGTTTATCATTACGAAAAGACTAAGTATCAGATAAGCGTAAACCTAGGGCTAGGAGCGAGATCTCGATTCTAGACCGACCTAGACTATATTCAATCCCACAAAGGGCATCAAGAGAAGCTAAGTCTCCAAAACTTTCACGCAGTGAAGCAATAATCTGATTTCGGGGATGAGACCTAGGCCGACCTCATCCTAGATAACAAGGCTTTCGCTCCAACGCAAAAAATCGCGTGACCACACAGGACGCCGCCATGATGATCGTTTGCGAGTGAGAATACGAGCTCGCGTCGAAAAGTCAAAGTTCAAGGCTCGATGTCCTACGTCAGGAATATCTTTCCCCCCCCCATAATGACATCCCGTGTAAAGGTCAAGCGTACACAGAACCTACCATACAGAGACCTACCCTTCCAAAGGATAAACATTTTCGTAAGAGTATTTTTACCTCCTGCCTTGTCACTCAGAGCCACACTCATCCTCGCATGGATCCCTTTCTTTTTTTTTTGCTTTATCCAAGAAGGCTTCTCACAGCTAGTCCCGGCGCAAAGCAGCCCTAACACCACCCAACCAATTTCACGCATTCACTCCCCTACAAGTACAATTCATCCCACACCCTGAGTCTAACTCAGCTTGAATTAATTCCCCATCGTCCTGCTGCCACCATGTATTTGGAAAAACCTACCACGCTCCACGTTATCGATTCTTTTGATGATATTTAACGCCTGGGTGAAGTTCCCTTCCTTAACTCGAGCTGACAAAGAGTCCGAACGTCTTTTATGAAAGTCTAATTTTTTACTTTCATTAGAAGCCTCGTCGTCGCCTTTAAATCCTTTGATTCTCAGACCGCCAGAATCGAACGCCAATGCACTGAATGGGGTCTTACCAGTGCTGCACACAATCGATGGACTGAGCACATAAGTTCTTATGGATATGGATGGAATGCCGGAATGTGCACACAAAAAAAGAAAAATCTGTAACATTTAGTTACCTTCACCTGCGCGTGCGAAGAAAACATGGGTGTCCCTTATCGATCACGATTCCCAGGTCTCTCTCGAAGGCATTCAGAGACATCTTGTTATACTGTATAACCAGTGGGAACCTTACACTTACTCTATTTAAACTCTGGTTTATTTTTTAAATTTATTTTTTGTTCCGGTGATTCCAAAGCTCTGAATTCCTCTCGGTCCTCTCCCTGCCATTCCTAATGAAGAAACCGATTTTCTTGTCGTCGGAAAATTTTCCGATTTATTTGCAATGCCTCGACTCGATCTTTTACATAAATCACAAGAGGTCTTTAAAAAAATAATAAAAATAATAAACTGGGGACTCCTCCAGATTTCCGATCTCTGCTCTCCTCCCTGACAGGGCTGGTCTTAGGCGTGTGTCCCCGCACAGGGCGCAAATTCACTCTGGGCGCCAAAACGCGCCAGAATGGATGCAGCGATGGTGGATGCCAAGGGGAGGGGCGGGGGGCGTTGGGAGTCCTCTTTGCACAGGGCGCTGAAGTAGCTAGGGCCGGCTCTGCTCCCAGCAACCAGTTGCTGCTCCAGCTGCTCGCCCTGAAGTAGCGAAGGCTTTCGCGAAGCAGGCGACGTCGACGGAACTCCTTTCGGCCATCTCGCAGGGCGGTGAGCGAGGGGTGGCGAGGGGGCGCGAAGCGAGCCGAGGAAGGTAGAAAAATTAAAAGGAAAAAAAAAATAGGACAGCGAATAAATTTGTAAGAAAGTGTTAAGAAGTACCCCCATATAAAGTTTGATGTAACCTTCACAGACTAATAATATAAAATTGCGGAGTCCTCACTCCCTGCAGGCGCAATATGAAGCCGCACATTACGTAATCAGATTCCGGTCGATATTTTCACTCACGAACATGCCAAAAAGTGCGTCCGAGGCTGATAAGTGCATTGCTTGGTTCCGTATTTTATTCTTCTTTCAGCGAAACTGAGTGCCTTAATCCAACGAACTAGATAATCACTAGAGCTAAATGGCACACAGCGACGCCACTACTTAGTCTCTGAGCAGTGCAAATTAAAAGGGCGACATGGAAACTAGTGGCTCATTCGTCCTTAAGTCGGCTCCGTGCTTCAGTTTAAGTCAAACGAGTTGCGAACAAGCTCAAGGATCCGGTGAAAATGCCTGCAATCGTGACGGTAAAACCCCTGACGAGATTCCGAGGGAGGATCCGAGACTTTTTTTTTTCTGGCCCGAGGAGCTAAGAACAATCGAAAGAAGATTGGAAATTGGGTTCCAGCAGGTTAAATATAAATGTCAAGATTTCATTCTGGCTGGATTTCTTACCGGGTGTTGAATGCAAATTATTCAACTTATTATTACAATTATTATTACGATTGACGATATAATCATTGAAACAATTATTCCTTCATCGATAAATCTTATTTCATTTAATAAAATATCAATGAAATAAACTAATAAGATGCTCTAAACTTCGAAGGAAAAAATCTCGATGGAAAGGGCCACGAAAGACGATTATCTGGAAGTATCCAATCTTTTATTGACGACCAAGGCGATTTCGATGATAAATTTGTTTCATGAGCAAAAATTGTTTTCGTATTCGCGATAATGGAAACGCAGCGGAATTCGCATCACGTAATTCGCTTTCCTCTGTCGTGACAGGAGCTCGTGACTGCCCGTATACTTGAATGAAGAGATGCCAACTGTCAGTAATTCATTTCACTTCAGCTGAGGGGGCGCAAACTCGGACGTGTACAGAAATTGAACAAGGGAAACCGAGAGATACGAAGAGGGGAAATGTCAAGGTCATCCTTCCGATCGAAAAGTTTGACCGATTTCGTCTGAGATGTGGTCTCTCGTGATGCTTTCCGTGGCTCTTCCTCAGAATTCTCGGAGATTCTGGCCTGAAATTTCCTGGGTTGCTCTCATTCTCTTTTAACCCAGTGTTGCACGACGTCGACGTTAGTGCGGTCGAATTTTTTAAACCAAACGAAGAAATTTCCACTGGAATATATGATGACCGTGTTCGTGGACATCACAACTCTCTGAATAAAATCGAAGATGCCATGCCAATCTATAGCGTCCGGTGATCCGGAATGTACGTCTTCACGTAAGTGGAACAGATGCAGCGAAAGTTAAAGATACATGCAGAGTTTGATGATTTCCAATCCCCTGGCACTCCTCACGCGAAATGCCATTTTCGAGTACAGTTCTAAAACGGCGCAGTTACTTCTCTCCCGATTTCCTCGAACGCACTCGCTGGAATCCCATCGGGGCCGGTTCCGTCACACCGTCCTTGCGGTTTTGAAGGGCCGCCTCACAAGAGGTCTCGGATGACCATAGCCTCGGGGCGGGCCGAGGTGGACCGCCGTCGTCGGGTTCGCTCGTGGAGGAGGTCGGGGAGAATCCCCCCGGCCGTGCCTCTCCGTTCGTCTCGAATGTCCTGCGTCCTTGGCGGGGTCGATCGAGTGCTGACTCGATGGGGTATCGATATGGGAGAAGTCTTAGGGTTATTCTTGGCATTAGTGGTGGCTCCTCTCGCTCTGATTCCGCTGACCTAGTGTCCCGTTTCAAAGTCCTGGTGAGTATTCCGATGTTCCTCGTGGTCCGCTTGGAGGCCCATTGCGAATGGGATACGGATCCCTTTCCAGATTCTTACATCGGATCAACGACTTATTTTTACCCGTAATTAAGTGCGACCGTCTGAGCACTTTCCTTGACTTGTTCGCTCCGCAAACTCCCATGTCGCCGGGGAGTGAAATCCCCTTTATTGCATTCGTGTGGATCCTTCGAGAGCCGTTCGATGTTTCGGGTGATCGTGCGATTCTACGAGTCTCGCGAAGCATCGTGGGATTTGAAATCAACCGCCTGATCGTCGTCCGTTTCGAGAACTAAATCCGGTACAGCGGCGTTTCTGGTCGAAAAGAAGCGAAGCACGAAGCCAAAACGAAAGAGAAACACGGAAGAAGGAATCCGGGGAGTCTGAAATCGCGAGTCGGAAAGAATCAAGTGCTAGATTTTGACGAGGGCCTTCCTGCTTGGCATCGGGTAAGGAATACCATCATATCGTGACCGAACTGCTGGAGACTTCTGACGAACTCCTGAGGCTCGTGGATCCGAACCGGCAACGGATCACCCCGGTCCATACTGACACAGTCTATTCTGCTCCAGAGAAGTCAAAGGAGCAAGAGCATTTGTTCCTTGGCTTTTTTTCAGCGAGAAAAATAATGACTCACCATTTCTTCCTCTTCGGTGTATCCGTGCCATCCTGTTATCACATACAAGATACCGAGAGACGCGAATGTTTTCCATAGTCTTTTGACTAGACTTGCCCTAGCAAGAGTGCTCTCAACCTTTGGACGACTGGCGAGTACGTTGCGGGAGATAGCGATCCAGTTTCTCGCACGCATGGTTAGTGATAGAGAGGAACTTCTACTTCTTGGAAATACTTTCACGGGCATACATCATGTATGATTTGCGCGGCTGCATTCGTATGTGTAAACTACTCTTCAGAAGTGAAGCTCTCTTGTGAAAATATGACCGGTTATGGTCATAAGCCGATCGTGGTGCCTTCGGGAGCTGCAGAAACAAAAAAAGGGCTTAAGCATCAGTCGATTATTAGTGCCGACGATAGAAATGGAGTTGGAGGACTTTGCGTTTGGTCTTCGCGATTGGAACGAACGGGGATGTCTCTAGTTGGTGTTCCGCCCATTTGGCGCAATGATGTTACTACGTTGGCGGTAGGTTGAAATTTTGAGACATGGTTGAGGTTTAGTATCAACAAAGAATCAACGGCGATGAAAGGCCGAATTTTCATTGCTGAAACGTATGGGTTAGCCAAATCGTTTGGAGGCGATTGAGTGTAAATTCGTTTTACGCATTTGCCTTCACTGTAGTCTCAATGATGTTGCAACATTGAGTTGCTTATATTTTCTCAACAACAAACAACATTGCGATTATGTTGAATCGTCAGCACATTCTCAACAGATGAGAAGTACTACAAGCCGACGCGAGATGGCGCCCGATCGCCAATTCAGCGATTCTCACCCCAATGCCACCGGTACGAGTCCGCGGTATTTTTAACAGGTGCCTGATATTTTTCAACGTGCAATGAGGGGGAAGACCTTGGGATCCCTGAGTAGATACGTTTGAAGAGGTCACCCGGCTCAAGTACCGCGTGCTCAAGTACTCCCTCTTTAAGTACCCCCTTTTCAAGTACATCCGGCTCGGCGGTTGGAGCCAACATCCTTCGACTTCCGTCTTCACTCCACAGCGTTCACGACGTTGGCATGAGCTTCTTTATCTCCCTTCGGAAAAGAATTGCGCTTTATCAGTCTGCGAGGGTATGTCAACATGGCTGTGACATTGAAATAGTCCAAATAACTTTTTTTTTCTGTCTGGGAGGATGCGTCAAGATTGTTGGGATACAGAAATAGACTTTTATCCGACGTTGTGACATCTTTACGTCGAAGCATCCCAGTCAGCCCAGTCAGCAGCCCAGTCATCACCCAGTCAGCACAACCACGACGTGGTTGTGCTGACTGGGTGATCTCGATGGCTCATTAAAAAGAAATCATTGATCCCGGAGCTAAGTTGGCAGATGCAGTCTACTCTGGAGAACAATGCCGGTACGTTCCGACGTCAGAATCAGTCACGAGCATGGCCGTAATGCTGCCCGTGCTCGCTCGATTCGAGAATCGGAACACGACGATTATACGGACCGATTCCGTTCCCAAGTTTGCCTCATTTTTCCCCCTTCGCCACAGAACTTAAATCCCAACAGGAACTTTCCAGTTCGACACCGAAGCTGTAAATTCAGACCATTTCCAGCGAGCAAAGAACTGGAATTTTCCAGTTAGATTTTGTGCAGAGAATCAGGGCCGGCCACTTCCGGGAAGTGAGAAAAGAGTGGGTTATGCTATGATTTCCAGCTGAGGTTTCCAACCGAGATTTTAAGCTGGGCAGTGAACTCTACTCAATCGAGAAATAATATTCACCACATTAGAAGAGCTCGTTCTCTCATGCTTTCACTGCTCGTCGCCGTCGTTGCTCACGCAGTTCTACCGGTTGGTAAGCTAGTTAGCCTAAAGGAAGCCGCGATCAAGAACAGTGCTGCCAGCAGGGTTGTGATCTTTACCCAAAATAGTAACTTGTTATTGTTTCAGGTTGTTTTTCATGAATGTTAATAATTACCATTATTGGGTGCTTTTTCCGATAAGTAACCATTGTTTATAATTAATCCTCCCTTAAAAGTTTCGACATTGAATTTCATCAAAGGTTCATCCAAGAGACCAAAGAATACGAACTTAGAGCTGTTATTTAAAAAAAAAAAGTATTCTCCAGCTAGCGTTCAGTGATGCTTAGCCCTAGGATGCACGACAAGGGTTTTTGGAACCCATACCAATGAATATTGAAAAAATGTTCAGTGCATACAATACTTGATTTATAGGTTTCGTACATGGACATTCCTTTGATAAACTGAGTGTTTTCTTCAAAAGCCCAACTACTACGTGTTATTTTGGCTGGGCCCCATACACCCGACTTTTTGAAATGCGTCGTCGGAAATTCGGTCATGCATCCTGGTGTGAATAATGTTGGGCTCTCGCATCAAGTCCATCAAAACAATCGTAAATGGGGGGCACTGCGATGCAACTAGAAAATTCATGAGGGCATGGGAGGGGGAATGGGAAATTGCAATGACACAATACAGTGGGGCATGCTGGGGGGAGAAGGATCGAAGCTGGAGGGGAGGGGAAGAGGGGAGCTGGGCGAGCCAGGCGAGCGCGTCCCGGTGTGCAGTGCCTTCCTTTCATCGTTAGTGCGATGCTCTCTGTTCTACTTTTCTACTTTTCTCCCATGGTTGTGCCAGAGGGGTCGCATGTCTTTTCTGTTCTTTGTCAACAACGCTCGGTGATAAATGCGGAATAGCAGTAATGGTGACACCGTCTACTTCCCTCAGACTCAACGCGTTACTGTCTCTCGTTACGTCTGAAGAAAAGGAACGAGTGACCTATTTTCCTTGCAGTGTTTAGTAATGTTCTTACTGCAACGCATTACTGCGCAACCATGGCTGCCAAAACAACCCTGATCGAACGATTTTTGATTTATAGAGAACGCCTAAGTCGCATTCAAGCCATTGCCCGTGCGTGCTTCAGTGGTTCGTTTTTCATTCCGCATTAGAGCGAACGAGATGCGATCGCGAAAGGGGTATTCTTCGCCGGGTTTCGCTTCAAATTGAGATTGAAAGCGGGGACGCATCACACCTTCACAACAGTTCATTTTCTTGCACTGGACTGCGCTTATAATGAATTTGGGTTAACCATACTTTTTTTTCATTTTTCCACAGAGAAACATTCCAAAAAGTCGAAAGTGAGAAAAAGAAAATACTAGATTGTCATTTCGATTTCGCCATACGGATAATTACCAGATGAGGCCGTGGAGCAACATGTCGACTTCCTGGCAGCAGCGTCCTCATCGAGGTCTGTTCTCATTTTCTGTTCACTGATTTATAGTATTCCCCATAATTTCTAGGAGATGTTCCCTATAATGTTATGAAGCCGAGGAAATGGAATCTTTGATGTTGACTGAACGCTAGTGCTTCTTCCGGTCAGATGCCTTTTCGGGCTCGCCTATGCCTGGCCTCTGACCATCTCAATGGGCCGCTCGGAGCCGACAGAGCCCGAGTTCGGCCTATGTCCAGATTACGCGCCCATCGTAGCGGGCGTGGGCAACGTGCCCACTCCCTTGCTTTAGTATGGCTGCCACCAGGCTGCCGTCACGTGCTGCGTGCGTGTGCTTCCAAGGGATATCATCAGGTGCTGTACCAGGAAAAGCTAAGCATATGTTGTTTACTCTCGGGAGACACTTCAGGGAAGAATCAAAATGTCGGTCTCATTGTTGCTTTAGATCAAGATATATGTTTGGATGTTGTCTGGTGTGTTAATCCAACTGTGGTATGGTATGTAGCTGACTTTCACTTTAAAGTTTCATGCTGTTGAGAAGCCAAATCAAGTGTAATGAAAAAAAGAGCGCTGGAGGAATTGGATCCTAAAACAGTTATGCATGGCTAGTTTCTTCTGGAAACTTTTGAAACCAGGCAGCCCTAGCAATGACTATTTGCATTAACTTCCTTTATCAGCCTAACCTTGGTGTTATGAGCTAAACAGTATTAGGTACCCAAGACAAAAAGTACTACTCACATTACAAGGAAGAAAAGCAATGGTGGGATGCAGACTTGGGACCCTGACCTGCTGGGGAACTGTGTGTATTCTCATTGAGCTATGGTGCCTTTGATGGACTAATGTTGCAGTAACAAAGCAATAGTTGAGGGGGGGAGGTAATTTTGACTAGTCATTGGGAAATGCACATATGCTGACTCCCCAACAAATATCTTTGGAGGTTTGCTCTTAATGTCTGGTAGTTAGAAAGAAAACCAAGCCACTTCCTCAACCAGATATGCCTGGCATTCTATACAGAGGACACATGTTTCATATGGTGATGCATCTCTTCACACTGTCCTGTATATAGAATGCCAGGCATGTCTGGGTTAAGTATTGGTAGGATTACTGTTTATTTCACCTTGGGAGTGAGGCAAACTAATTCTAAGCTAAAGACATGAATTTTCATTCATAGGGATAAGTAAGGTCTAAATTAAGTTTATGTACCTAATATTTGAGCTATTAGGCTACATTTTGACCTATAATAGGTTTTGTCAAAAATGGATAATATCAAAAGGCCTAACCTTTTTTTTTTTATCTTTCAGGGCCAGCACTTACAAGGATGTCTGTGCTCTCAAAATTTTGCATTTTAGCAAAGGAGATTATTGAGAGTACAGTGGTTGTTCCTGCAGTGGCCATGTGCCTGGTTGCAGTTGCTCCTCACTATTTCATTGCTTGGCTGACATGGAGGGGACTGTCTTCAATTTTGCCAGATTGGCTCTATCAGAAAGGAGATGATTTCTGCTATGTGATTTACCAAACATACGTCTTGTTCTTCTTTGAGCATTTCACTGGCACAAAGGTTTGAATTATATCCATCATAGGGTTTGCTGGACTTTATATCAATCTTCAATAAGACTAAGACCCCAGCCTAATTTTAGAACTATACTTATTGTAGTTGCCAGAATCATAAGCTAGACTTTTAGCTTTTAGTCAATTATATGCAACTTGGGATAAATTCAGAATAAAGTCTAGTGATTAACAGGTAAATGCCTGCCTAAATTTGCTTAGGTGGGTGCAAAACAGACAATGTATTCTTGGGTTCATTTATGTGAATGATAGTATCTGTCTGGAATGTTTTGCAGTTCATCTTTGATGGTGATGCAGAATTTGCTTTCAGGAAGAAAGAAAAGGTCCTTTATCTTGCCAATCATCAGTCAGCAGGTAATGTTTATAATATTTTCCAGCTCTTTTGAAATGGCTTTATGGCTTTGACTAAGCATATGACACTTTTTTTTTTCGTTTCCAGTGGACTGGGTTCTCAGCAATGTAGTGGCCGTCAGACAGGGTTCTATAGGACACCTTCGATATGTGATGAAATCCTCACTACAGATCATACCTCTGTATGGCTATTATTTCTATCAACATGGCTGTATTTATGTGCGAAGAGGACAGTTTTCCCAGGAGAAGATGCTGACTGGTCTTCAGTATTTACAAAATCCAGCCATCACAGTGAGTCAAATGCCTTGGCTATACCATTTTCCAGTAATGATGGCTTAAATCATGATATAGTAGTTGGAGGATTACATGCAAACAGTGACCAGTAGAGTGATGGTACTCCAGATGGGTGTGATTACTTAGGGCAACTGGGAATGAGCACATGCTCATTGAGTTCAGTCAGCAAACTTTTTTTTATTTATTTGAAGAAATGAATCTCAAGTATCCAAAAATTAATTCAGTTTGCATTTTTCTATATTTTTGGTATTTCTGGAAAGCATAGAAGTCTGTTTCTACCCTATAGATGACTAATTCTTCAAGCCTAAGGTAAGGTGCTTATGTTAATTGACATCAAGCTCATGAAGTGCTTATGGTTTCTTCTCTTCCTGCTAGAGTTGGCTTGTCGTGTTTCCTGAAGGAACCAGGTTTAATCCTGAGTGCAGAACCCTCATTGAAAAGTCAGAAAAGATAGCCAAGGATGCAGGGTTACCAGTATTAAAGCACCATCTCACTCCTAAGCATCGTGGCTCATTCATGGCTTTGCAGGCCCTCCATAAAAATTTGGATGCAGTTTACAACATCACAGCTGTGTATGGATCTTCAGTGACGCCAGATGGTAGAAGGGTCCAAGCCCCACAGCTCACAGGTAAGATGAACAGTTGACCATGGTTTTTTAAATTTATCCTTTGGCTGCAGAAGCACCATGAATTGTTTGAATAATTTTTGACTAGGTTTCTTCAATAAGTCCTGTCAGTGGGTCTATGTCCACATTGAGCGAGTGCCAATGCAAGAAGTGCCATTAGAAGAGGAAAAATTCAGACACTGGATGCATGAATGCTTTGTGCACCGTGACAGGTAAGGTGTCATTGGGGTTTCAGAACAGAATGGAAAAACTACCCAAAGCAGAATGTAAATTACATGAAATATTAAGTACAAACCTGGGTGAAACAGATATTATTAGGCCTACATTGTTTGCTTCTTAATTATTCTTATTCCAAAATGATTCCCATCACTGATTGGGAAGAAAGGGGTGTCCTAATGTTCACTTTATGCCCATTAACTGAGTTTTAAACAAATAAGAGCTCCCCTTCGATTTCTGTCAAAACAGCAATTCCTTTCTGACCCAGATGGGTACTAAAGATTATTTTCACAAAGTTGAATGTTGGGTTTCTTGTTTAGAAACGAAGCTTTTCATGGAAATACCCAAATATATAATCTGATTGCATATTACTTGAAAATGTAAACTGATAAAATTCATTAAAAAGTTATGACATTTTTTGGCTTAACTCAAAAATAGGCCTGTCACATTTTAGATGCCTAGATACCTGAAGATCCAGTTTTGATACAAGTAGAAGATAACCCGAGAAGCTTCATTTCTGAGATGTAGCCAAAGTGAAGAGCTGCCTAAGAATGTTCATGGCTCCACTGGAATACTAACACATTAACTGCCAAGGGGATAAAGTACTGGTCTTCCCCATGGTACCATGTGACGTGTTGGTGTGTCACATGGCAGGTAATACGTTAAATCTCAATGAGGGTATACACCATACTAATCAGAATTGGTGCACATGAACCCATAAATAAGTTATTGTGTTATGTGAACTAATCTCCTCAGCCTTTTTTTTCCTTCCATTTCCTTGCCCCTGACAGGGCCATCCTATCTGTGAATTCTGTCAGTGGTATTAAGAGAACTATACTTCCATCACATAGGGTGGTTGGAGGTTGCAGGATAATGAAAGATAAGGTAAAAATTTTATTGAAAATTATTGCAATTTTTTCTTATGACTCTCTTACCACCTTGTGGGTTGCATTCCAATACAACTCCCAAGGCCTTTTACCAGGCAACCATAGTTCTAAAATATGGCATAAGTCAGTGCAGCATAAAGGATTATACTTTTTTTTGGCAAAATACTAAGGATCAGTTTTAATCCTGTGATGGTGATGGAACAGAATTTGAACCTCCAGAACAAAAAATAAGTTTGAAAAATATGTCTATACCCACAACCATACCTGGACTTTTTCCCACTTGTTTTGAAACCTTTATTAGCAGTAGTCCTTTTTTTTCTCTCAAGATTTCTCAAGTGGCATTCTCATGCTCATGGGATATTCTTCTTTGCAGAATTGTTGAGGACTTTTATGCTAGTGATGAAGAAGTGCGAGAGACTGCAAGGAGACGTGGGAAGCATATTCCCATCTCACTGATCAAAACACTGCCAAGTGTGCTTGTGTTTTTGGCTGCATCCATCCCTGTATTCCTCACTGAGTTTGGTAGAAAGATCTACCTGGACATTTGGCTGTATGGATCAGTCCTTTCCTATTCCTGGCTTGCAATCAAAGCTGTCTGCTAATATTTTTGAAGTTCAGATAGATTGGAACGTGACATGACCACATCCAGAAGTTTCTTTTCTTATGTTCAAGAGGTTTTCATTTTCTCATACTTGGAGATCTAGCAAAGGTGCCTATACACAATCACCTTTCTTGAAGATACATAATATATGTATAAGAGTCTACTGTGTAGTCCATGGAGTTATCTGTGATAATTTTGGATAATTTTCTTTCTTCACAACCTTCATAGAAGATTTTTCTGAAAGTTTTATAAATCGATTCAATGAACTTGAACTAGACATACTACATGAAACACCAAGGTATACATGCTCAAAAATCTCATTTCTGCATTGTTAGAGTAGTAAGGATAAGCCATATTGAAGATTGGGAGTACCAGTACTGATGTCATTCACTCAGAATACTCATTGTTTAATGGATATTTAAATAACAAAGTGAGAATATTCCAACTCTACAGGTATATTTGAACAAATGCATTCCTTCCTTGTTCTCAGATCATCTTTGAACTCAACAAATTTTCATGATGGGTGTAAAATATGATTAATGAAAGGTTTCATTGTATGCTGCCAAAGACTATCCAGTTGCCAACACCTAGTCAACTGAGTGTTTTATGTGTTCAGCATCAGTGGCGCACGAGTTTGGTGCCATATCAACCATTTAATATTGCAGCTGTTTTGAGAAAGTATGCAGTTACTCACAAGAAGTGGAAGTTGAATTAGAATAGGGGCAATTATTTTTGCAGTACATGCAAGTTTATAGTATTTTAAATTAATTTTTATTGTGAAGATACAATACCCTTGTTTACTTAAATTTTTTCCCTATTAGATGGCATTTGTTATCACAAAAAAATCAATGGGAATGAGGGGCTGGTATATTTGCAATAACAGTTTAATGAATATCACAGACTTGCATGTACTTTTGAAATTACCTGTCTCTACCCTATAGCATTTCATCTCATTCTTCTGCTCTGAATGCAGTTAAGATACAGAAGCCATATTCCACTTTTTCATTTTTGATCAGGATTGGGTGGCTCATACTCATTTCTTAGCACTGAATTCAGCTTTTTGTTACATTGATGATTTTTTCCTGTTCTGATCAGCAAGTATTATTGTGGACTTCCTGTTCTGTTTGGCAAGTACTATCATGGTGTTGTTCCTGGTTTCATTTCCCCTTCCTGGTGTAGCTTTTTCATATGATATTCATGATTGATGCCTCAGCTTCTCCACTGTGATTTTCAGCCAATTGTGAGAGAAACACATCAAACACTGCACACTTGTCAGTGAAAAACTTGAGACATTCTCCTTCATGCAGCAGCATAATACACCACAAATCATCCACTTAGATTTTAGGCCATATTTGTCCTTTATATGCCTTGTATAATCTACATTGGTGCTTTATTCAATGAAGTTATACTAAGTTTTTCATTTATGTTTTTCTCAGTATTTCATGCTGAGGACACTTGATAAACCATATCCCTGCAGCTTCATATGCCCTTTTGAGAGTCCTTGTGGGCAGTTTTCATTTGAACTTGGCAAGGATGAATCATGATCCATTCAAAATTATCAAAACATGTTATCAGGGATGTATCCTCATTTATCAAAGCCTGAATTCACTTTTTTCTTTCTTGACTTCACAATTTCTGCAGCAGTTTGTAATACACCAGTACTTTTTTTTATTGACAATCGCTTGTCAAGTTTTCTGCATGCAAAGCAGTTATGCTGTCTCATAACCAGTACAAGTTGTGATCCTGAGCTTGAATGTCGTGATCGCAGTTAGAGTTAAAGGTAATGTGACATGTTATGTACTTGATATATTTATGCAAGAGCAAGATAAGATATGCTCATTGTGCAAGGTGAGAGGTTGTACTCTGGACTCTTGATAAACTGAGTTACATTTGTTTTTATCAATAAGAAGCAATCTCAGGAGCTTTCAAGTACAACTGTCCTGGTAATGCACTGAAGTGAATGTGTACTGGTACTTCACTGCATACTTTTCAGTACTTAACCCATGCAATCTCATGCATTCCTATGAAAATTCATAAATCAAGAAGGTAAAAATGAGAACAGCCCTGTTTAATTAGAGGCTGCTGCAGAGCTTTCTCAGCTACAGAAAGAGGGATATCTTCATGGCTACAATTCAATGTCCTCGGTGTTTTAGAAGGGGAATCACTGAAAAGGGTACTTTTAATTTGAAGTCCATGGAGTCCCAGCCCCATTGCAATTTGATGAGGTTAATCACTACATTCATGTTGCATAATATAATTTCTTTCCCAGTGCCAGTAATTATGAGGTGTTGAAGAAATAAACTGACTGGAAAAGTATGTGAAATAACTGAACTTTGCTCATGTTATGTTTCCTTTGCCAGATTTAGGGAAATATATTTTTGCCGGTTAGAATTTATTTAAACATTAACACTTTCATAGTGATGGACGTAAGTGTATGTCCAGCTCTATCTACGATCTGGTGATGGTGGATGTAATAGTGCATCTTTTGAAAATTCTTGCAGGAGTATTTTTGTTAGCTAGTTGTATGTCCTCTATGCTAAGAGGGGCATTCAAAAAGTCTTTGGACATTTTTCTACTTCTGCCCCTTGGACTAGCCCAACATGCTTGCAAATTTGCAGGCTTAACAGCCATCATGAGCACAATGTATAATTCTGAGCAAGAGGTAATATCAGCAATACCATTCTGTTGGCTCACCTAATCCTGAATATCGACAGTGGAAGGTGACACACAAGGGCAACATTAAACAGTATGGTTCCTGTGAAAGGAGGAAGAAAAGACCATCAGCATCGTTCGCAGGCTTCAAGCAGTTGGTGCATTCAGTTGTGACCCAAGTCATGACTTGAGAGTCTCAGTTCAATGCTTGCACTGAGGCTTCAAAATAAATTTTACTCCATGGTGACACCTCTTGTCAATGTCATCAATCTGGGGCATAATAGTTTTTGAAAAGCGCCACACCTGCTGTGCTTTTAAAAATTCACGAACCTCAAGTCATGACCCGGATCACAACTGAATGCACCCAGTGTGTGCAAAGTCTGCACTGTCAAAACAGACTATCTACAACTGGGTGCTTTCTTTTGAATGTGGTCCTCAAATGACTGAAGATCATGCAACATGCTCTGTTAGACCAAGCTCCTCCACTACAGAAGAAAACATTGCAGCTGTTAAATGATTTGATAATGAACAAGACAAATCGCACACCAGGAGCTTGTTCTTGCAGTTGGAATCTCAGCTGGTTCCATTAATGCCATTTTGCATGATAATCTGTGACTGGGAAAGGAAGGTGCAATGGGCACAGATGAGTGTGAAACTGCTCTGCCTCTACAACAGTAATCCAGATGCTTTCTTCAGATGTCTCATTACTGGCAGTGAAATGTGGTTCCATTTCCACAATTCAGAGATGATACAACTACCCAAACAGTGGAAGCATGTCGACAGTCCTCCACCCAAAAGGGCAAAAACATCAGCAGGTAAGCAAATGGCGACAGTCTTCTGGGACACAGGAAGGCATTTTTCTGGAATGGCTTTGGGAGGGGCAAACCATCAACAATGAATATTACACAAGCATCCTGTCGAAGCTTAATGGTGCTATCAGGTCAAAATGCAGAGGGAAATTGAGTGCATGTGTTCTGCTGCAACATGACAATGTGAAACCACATACCAGGCAGCAAACATCAAATGCCATAGAGATCTGGGTTTTGAGGTGCTACAACACCCTCCATACTCACCATGTCTGGCACCAAGTGATTATTGGCTCTTTGGTGCCCTCAGAGGACAAAGGTTTTCAAAGCTGCAGGCACTCGACTCAGTGGTGCAATAGTAGGTTTGGTTTACCCCAAAAACATGGTTTAAAGAGAGTCTAAACAAATGGTGCAAGTGTGTGTCAATTGATAGTGACTTTAAAAAGTTGTAGTTGACTAGGTAGTGGACTATAAAAGGTTGAAAAAGTACAGTAGCTCCTGCTTGAGAATAAATCTTTTATACTGCAATTATTGAGAAAATCCAAAGACTTTTTGAACATCCCTTGTAGATGAATGAGCTTTAAAATTATGTACTTACATTTCAAATAGCAACAATTTTAGAAATTCAGAAGTTTGTATAAACAACAAACAAAACCTGTGCTGCTACACACTTAGATGCAGATGGCATGTTATTCTCAGCCATTGCCTGTCCATCCCCACTGCTACAAAAATGCAGTTTTTGTTTGCTGTTCATACGAGCCTCCAAATTTCTGAAACAGCTGAAGGCATTTGAAATGTAAGTACACTACTTTAAAGCTTAGTCATTCCTCTTTCAAATGTTGCAAACCACATTAAAATATATGCATTGAGTGCAGTATAGTATAACATTGAAAACTGTCTAGTTTTTTTGGTCCATAAGCCAATAATCTTAGTCACTGAAATTTGATCCCATAAATACTAATGGTATTTATGGGATCCATCAATTCATTTATTTGCAGATGATGAAACTGAGACACAATTTCATATCTGGAACACTTTTTTTTATTATATAGACTGTTTCTGGCAAAACTGGGGTATAAACATGGGAGAAAAGAGGAAAAATAGGCACTGCTACCTCCAAGGACAAGGTGCAATATCAGACTTGTCAAGGAACTAATCCTCATTTAGCTAGAAAATGGCTGAGATGAATCATGCTTGAAGCAATCTTATGAGAACATTCCACCCTTGAAACATACAACAATAATCATTATCAACATTCCATGAAATATATTTCTTGTCTGATTCATTTACTCATTAGCTGTGAATCATCTTAACTTGGGTCAAATATAGAACCAGAATTGAAAATTTACTATTTTTGGCTCATTAGACAATGAAACCAGGTAGAAGTGATAAGACTGAAACATGAAAATGCACCAGTTTCTCCAGGATAGGTTTATCAAACATGTAAGGATTTTTTTTTCAGGCTATCCTCCATAGATAATAAATAAAGCATGGAAGCAATGATGTCTGATGTTTTTTAAATTAATAAAATCATCAGAGTTGT